GACCCGAGTCACAGGGTTTGGTCAGGCCTGTACAAACCCCAGGGCAGTCGTGATGAAAAGGCGGCTGGTCGAGTCAAGATGTCTCGTGGGCAGAAATCATGTTCAACCTGACTTTATTGACTCGATTCAACTTGGCCGGTGCAGGCGAATAGACCACTTCCTAGGGCCGACGGCTATGATGATGCCTTGGCAATCTTGCCTACGGGAAGGTGGAACCAGAAACATCGTGAGCCTTTCTGCCCTTGCTGCTTTCGCCCTCCATCCGCCTTAGCTGGAACCTAAGGCTTGATCATCTTGCTCAGCATTCTCTGTGGCTCAGATGCAGTTGCCAGGCTGGCCCAGGGCAGCCCAATCTTGAAACTCATGAAAAGACATGGTCTTCGTCTTTCGTCCTCATCGTAGCAGCAGTATTCATTGTCAATACCACCCCATGAGAATGAGTCCAAAATGCGCATCGTACCGTGGCACGAGTACAATTGGAGCCCTCAAAGCCTGCACAGTGACAAAACTGAAATGAGTCATGATTGTTGCTCTTATTGTTGTTGACATGTTGCTTTGCCTTTGTTACTGAGCTTATACTTACAGGACTTAGGGCTTTGGTTCTCACCCAAAATCCGAGGCATGGTCGCTGGCATTTACACCTCGGTGGTGGATCTGGTGGAAGGGCAGTGAATGGTTCGCGTGGCTTTGTCTGGCTCTCTCATGGTCTGCCTTAGCAGACTGCAGGTTTAGTTTGATCAGGGAGTTTCGAAATGTAAGGTTCCCTTTCTGTGCAGTCCGGTTCGGCACTTTCCTGGTCTTACAAGTCTGTATTCAGGATGCCTTATTTGAGAACCTCCCATACAGTTTGAAACAGACGTCTTGTGGTTTTGACCGCTCACAGCCTTACAGCCCCGTGTACAGTTTGCATCCGCTTCGGTGCAGGCGAGGCTAAGGCAAATAAATGAGGGGCAAAGGGAGCTTGGCGTGCAGGCCACTCCAAGGCTAATTCGCCGTTCCTCGCTTCCAGCAAGTAGACTCGAAATGAGAGCGGCGCGGCCTGTGCAACACTAGGGCACCAGAGTTTATTGGAGGCCCAGGTGCTTGAAATCTGTAGAGACGCTTAAGAGACGCTGATGTTCTGCGAAATTGCAGGCCTTTCCGCCGGTTGGCAGCTTGTGCGAAAACTGAGGTGTCAGCAGCGCATCAGTCTAAACCCTAAACCTCGAGACTCCAGCCCTTCTAGCTCCCCAAACCCAAAGGAACCCCCTAAGACACCTTACACATACAAGCCCAAGGACCAAACCCTGGACCCTAAAACCCTACGCCCAGCGTGCGTTTTCTTGCCAGGCCAAGGCCACGGGGAGAGTTCCACGCGTGCCCCGAGAAGCTGAGCTGGCTCGAACGACTGAGCCAAATGTTGGCCCCGCCATCCATGGCATGGTGTAGAATATAAACATATAGTGTAATTTTTTCGATGCTAGAGCCTCGTATAGTATCCTCTATTTGATGGGCTGTCTATGAGATGCATGCATACATAGATACATGTCCAATGCTTATACTCGTAAATATGTACGTGTATATGTATGGTAGCATATACTTATACTTACGTATACACATCTGTAATGCGCATGTGTATGTGTAGGTGCATGCATAGGTATATCCTGCTGTGTGTGTATGCTGCATGATAACGTAGATTGTAATTGACTCCAAGTCAGCATCAGCATTTCTTTGCAGGTACACCTAGAAGACTCCATGCGCAACCTTCATGCTTCATGAACAGCTTCCTAGATCCGTCGAACCGCCTCTGCCACCCTCGAAGAGGGGAGAGACATGGGCTGTTTCACCTGGTTTGCGACAGCATCGCACCGGCAGCAGAAAGCAAAGGTTTGGACATGTTTGGGTTTCGTTGCACGGGCCTCGAACGGGCACATGTAAAACTTATCCTGATAGCATCTGACAGCTTAGTGTAGCGAACATCGGACTTGCAACACTAAAGGTTTCGGAAGAGGCAAAGAGAGCTGACTTGGACTGATAGCTTTCGAGACCCTGTCTAGGATTCTACCTCTCCTTCTGCAGTGATGCTCTCTAGACTCTAGACTCTGGGTCCTTCACGCACTTCAACCTCTTTGTTTCTGCTCGGGTGCTGTTTATCTCTTGTCCTTGCAGGTTTGCAGCAGGATTGAAGGAAGCTTTACCCAGTATTGATGTGCCAAAACCAGTAGCGTTTAACCCGGGAGCACAAGATTCAGAAACTTGGTCGTTCCTATTGCCACCGCCAGCCCCCTGATGCTAGGACTCTGCGGGCGTCCTTGTTCTTGACTTCATAAAGGCTCAGAACTTGAAATGCCTGGGCAGCCCCGTTCACCATAAACCCTAAACCCTACACACAAAGGATGCTCATGTGCTGAGGGCTTGGAGAAGACGGTGCAAGGACAAGGCATGAGCTTCTTCCAGGTTGCTGCTTGGACAGGTTTGATGAATCTATTCTTTGACGTATTTCGTATCTATATCTATATATATATATATATATATATATGTATAGAGTATATAACATAACACGCATCTATCTGCACATATCTACATATACACACATACACATATGCACGCATACATGTATGTATGTAGGTAGGTATGTATATACCCCTATATCTTTACACACACACACACACACATATATATATAGTGTCTTTATATGCATAGGTATATATGTATGGTATGTATGTATGAAACACATGTATACACACAGACCTGTAGGTATGCATGCATGCATGCATGCATACATGTATGTATGTATGTATGTATGTATGTATGTATGTATGTGTGTATGTATGTACAGTACATGCACACACGCACACATACACAAATACATACATTCATTCATACATCCATGCATACATACATGCATACATACATGCACACATTCATGCACATATACAGGTGTTTACATGCATATATGTACATATGTGTATATGCATACAGAGATACTACACGCGCACATAAATAACTACACATATATATATATATATGTTTGTATGTATGTATGTATGTATGTATGTATGTATGCATGGATGTATGTATGTATGTATGTATGTATGTACACACACACACACATATATATATATATATATATGATATGATATGTATTTAAAAAGTTAGCAGATCTACTGGTACACGCACATACATACATACATACATACATACACGCATGCATGCATGCATTCATACATCCATACACGTACAGTACAGTGCAGTGCAGCACGGCACAGTACTGTACATATACCTGTCTTTTCAGAGGCTGTGTATTCTCTTGAATCCGAGATGCATGAACAGCAAGTCAGTAGACGTTTCGCAGCCAAGGCTGTTCCAGAGGAGGCCGAAGCGAGAGAGGAGAGTGGTATGCGAGGGGGCGGGAGTGGCCTGGCCTAGCCAGACAAACCACATTGGCCGTTCTCCTATTGTAAAGCTTTGCCTTGAGTGCCACAGCTACATGTTGGGAATGAGGGTGAATGTGCAGTCTCCTTGCATGGCTTAAAACCGAGAGCCCTGGAGGCTTAACCTTCCGCGCAGACAGATTCTGTCTGGTAGAGGACAACTGGTGGAAGGAAAAAGGCGCTCGCAGAAGAACTTGAGACTTTTCTCAAGCAAGAGCTGCAAACTCGTAAGCCCTTCGCTCCAACCTCCTGCACCCCAAACTCTTGAACCCAGACCCAAAAATGCTTAAAACGTAAACAAGTGTGAGTGGTCACCTTCTCGAAGTTTGAGGCGGAAATTCCCCTAAGTCCAGCGGCGCTGGCCACGGCACTCGGCGCACTCCGGGGGTCGAAGTCTCAGAAGTCCAGTCCGCAGGGTTCAAAATGCAATGTACAGGGTGAAAGGAGAGGGTTGGGAGGTGTGACGGTATAGGATACGTCCCAGTTAAGTTACCGTTGCCAAAGCACTTACAGCTGTGTCTCTCTGTTAATCTGAGTTTATTTATCATTTCAACAGTTAATCTTCTGCCTCTTTGCTTGACTTATGTTTCTCTTTCTCCCTAAGCGCTATGCGCGACTCTATCCTCATGGGTTCATGATCGTTGCAGGTTCAAGCTGAGCGAGGAGAGCGCCGTCGTGATTTGCCGTGATGGACCCGCCTTGCTGCAGTTTGGCATGCAAGCACTGCTCAGAACAGCCTTTAAACTTTAAATGCTGGGTCACTGATGGTCACGTTTGCTGTGCAGGATACTGTCAGTTTACAGGCATCCGGACTGAGAGCTGTTTAGCCTGCAGGACGCTCAATTTCGTCGGCGGTGACTGCCTCCTGGCTCGTCTTGGAGTGCGGTCAGGCACAGTGCTACGGTTCTGGGCATTTCTGGACCGGGCGGGATCTCCAGAGCGATGCAGTGCCAGCCTCTCTGCAAGGCGATAGATGATGCTGTCGCTGCTGTCCTGGACTCCGCCCGGACGGCATGGAGCCCGGCTGCCACTGGTAGCAGCTCATGGGAGGGATCCGAGATGGTCAGTCCTTCAGGTTGGAGCCTGCAGGACGCCACTGCAAGCCTTCGAAAATAGCCGCGAGGCCAAGAGACGAGGGTCAGGTATAGTCGGTATGCTAGAGCTCACACAGAGTTGTTTGACATATGGACGGCGTCATGACCTTCCTAAACGTCCCACTTCTACCGGAGCCTGCACGGTTGCAGGCCTTCTCGGCTGCCCTCTCCGCGGCCAGCAGTTGAGCGCATGAGCGGAAAAGCCAAGGGTCTGAGTCTCAGAAGTAAGCTCGCGCGGCTTCCAAGCTCCTACCGGACCTCCACAAACGAGAGCGACCAGGTGCACCAGAAACGACTGGCACCGTCGCGCCGTGGAGGATCCTGCATCACCCGGCTAGCCGCAGACTGGCCCAGCCTCACCCTGAACCTCCTGCGACCTTGGGACAAAAATGCAGCGCGACATGATTCCAGAATGCCGTGCAGTCGTGAATCAGGCTTGAGCGAGTGTGAGTTTGTTTTTATCTGGACTGCAGCTGTTGAGCCCAGTGTGGAGATGGAGGAGGCAACGCCTCCACCAGAGCGGTCAGAGGCCCTGCCAGATCTACCCGATGCACACGAAATCATCGAGGGCCTTTTTGTGGGGAATGCTGATGCAGCAGTGGAAGCAACCACAGGGCCAAATTCCCGGAAGATCAGCCACATCCTCGATGCAGCAGGCTGCGTCACCCCCGCCATCTTCGCAGCTCTGGCCAGAGCTCTGGCAGAAGAGCCTGGGTTCTTGTTAAAGAATTCAATCTAAGTCACCCATAATAAGGAAACCACATCATTTACTGCAGATCCTGACTATGGTAACTGAAAGATAAGTTCCTTAAGAGGAGCAAAGCGAAGAAGCTGGCGAGCTCCAGCCGCCCCCAATGAGCCGGAAGTCGGGGCGCACGCAAAGCTACAGCCTGAACGGCATTGAGACTCGGTAGTTGCCAAGGTAACCTTTATCCTTTTTTGGGGTTTCTTTGAGGGATCTATGAGGGTGTACGAAAAGGGTATTAGTTAGGGTACTACTTCAACTGCTTGTTGGGGTTTCTATAAGGGATCTCTAAGGGTATACTATAAGGGTATTAGTAGGGTGCTACTTTAACCTTTGTTGGGGTTTATACAACCCTACCATAGTTGGAAAAGTTTACCTTCTTTGGGCTATAAGGTACTCGGCCCCTAAGGAGACGTTGTCGGCTCCTTTGGACGATCACGGACGAACGGAGCTCTCCGAGGACGGCCGGCCAGACCAAGAAGCTCTAATTTCTGGACTTTTACGATGTGGAGCTTCCTTTCTTGGGGCAGAGGACCGGCTGAGGGACGAGGTTTCTGAATCAAGTTCCTGCACCAGCCAAATTCTGTCAGGAGTCTTAGAGTCTTAGATACCTTGGTCTGTGAATCTCGAGAAATGTCATCTCCCGGAGCTACGCAGATGCCCGCTGAGAGCAGCCTACTCTAGGGGGTTCGGCCTGCTGTGCCCATAATCACCCATAATACCTGGACCACAAAAGTATGTAGAATAACGGCCTTTTATGGGGTTTAGGTACAATCTCACATGTCGAACAAGATTGCTGTGAACGCGGATCTGCAGCACACCCGCATGTCTCAAGCAGGAGTGTTGGGGTACATCTGCGGCTTTGTATTGCGCATGCAGACATACCTGTCAAAAAGGATTGGGGTAAATCGGCTATTGAGCTACATACAGTACGCCACCGGACATACATTTCAATCGGAATTGTGGTACCCTCACTGCCTCAAACAACCCACAGCTCTACACAGACGCATCCAGCCTCAAACTTGACAGAATTCCGAACCATCCCAAGTTTGTGCATAGACTCATGTAGCCCAACCCCCTCAAGCACACGAGGAGCTTCAGAAGAAATGGTTCGACTTCATCGAGAGGGGTCTGGCTGAGGGGAAGGTGCCGGCAGCTAGAATCGCATGTGTTGTATCTGGGTTGAAAACCGTAAGCACTGTATGATGGCTTCGGTATGATTGTATGCACCGCTGTCATCCTGAACTACAGAGCTTTTGCATTGATCTTTGCCACTGTTTCAATTCCTTCCAGTAGACTACTGTTGAAGTGTATGTGGAAGTAGATGTGAGAAGCGGTAATGGGCAGAAGCAGTACGGCATTATCACCAGCAGCCGCCCCTAGGCCCAGACCCCAAAACTCCGCCCATCGAGCCCTGAAGCATCCTAAATTCCCAAAATCTGAGAAAGACAGGTCCTCGTCCACTGCCGCTTGGGTGTGAACCGTAGCGTCACGGTGGTGGCGGCCTTTCTGGTGCGATGCCGCGGCTTCACCCCGGAGGCTCCACTCCAAACACACCGAAGCGACTGGTATATTCTGTGTTCTATCAGTTCTATCTGTTAAATTCTGTATACTGTAGTTTTTTATTGTATTATATTCGTACACATAAGAGCATTGAAACGCTGTCGAGTTCGCTGCCACAGCATACTACAAGACAGGATGATGCTGGTGTCACCATGTATTGGGACCCCTTCCATCTTAAGTTTCTGAATCCACGAAACCCCTGGCCGTAGGCGCCTCTGAACCCTTAGCCCTATAGTCTAAACATCTTAAAAAAAACAGAAACCTTCACCCTCGAAGCTCTAAGCGCTCAGAATCGAAGAGCCCTCAAGTCCAAGGCCTCGAATGCAAGCTTTAAACACCCGAAAGCCGACAGCCGTATACCCGAAAAGCTTGGAAAAGCCTTCTCACAGGCCTGACTCCCAAACGCGACGTCTCTCAAGCCTGAATCCTGAACCCTACCACCCGGAGCCCCACAGCGTAAACCCTGATGACTTGAGATGGCCCTCTCAAACCTCGAAACCACGATTCAGAAAGCCCTAGATCGTCGAAAGCCCTCTCAAAGGAGGCCCTTGGTCTGCTCGTCGAGAAGCGGCCCTGTGCAGACCCCGTTTCTGCTTACCGGATGCAGCTCCAGACCTTGGCAAAGAGGCCGCGACACGTTGGGGCGTGGGCCTTCGACCTATACCACGTAGGGCGTTTTTAAGCCGAGGAGCCCTTTCGACACCAAGCTAGACCCGAACTGGCTTCTTCGAGCGATTTCACAGACTCTCGGGCTCCCTTACGCCTCACTCCCCCCCGTTGAACCCGGAATGTCAAGCGTAAAATCTCCAAACTTCTCAGGCTCGCTAAAGTCGCTGGTGGACAGCGGGGCGAGGGTTTGTACAAAAAATTCTGCTCCTGGGTGTTCATTTTAGGGTTTGCGTCGTTCTTTCAGCGAGATAGCAAAAAAACACACACACACACACACACAGAGCCCAGCAGGATCCAACAGCAGTTGCAGTATGGAGCGAACTCGTAGTCAGACACCAGGTGCGAGATTTTCATTCCCGTGGTGCTGCTACTGCAATCTCACAATGGTGTAAGTGTAGGGCCGGTGTCTGCCGGGAAGCAGGTAGCAATGCTTCAGTTTGAGGAGGCTTCCAACTTTGCGGCTACGGAGCGGCTGTCACTGGCAGTCCAGTCCTCCGCGAAGGCTAAGACGATTGACTCGGGCGGTTCGTCGGAAGTCACGTTCTGTTTCCTTTCAGGCAGGTGCTGAAAATGTCCAGTTGCGTGCGTGGGTGTGACCAGCAATGAGTGTTTCGACGCCCTGTCAGGCTCCACCGCCCGAGGGCATCGCTGGATGTCGGAGAGCTGGACACGCTTGGTGAATTAGTTCTATGGCTCCATGTGCATTTGATCCTGGTGCCGGGGAGGCACAGATGGTCGTGAGACACGCAGCCGGTTTTGTGACACCGGGCTGGAGCCTTGTCCTTTTCGCCTTGGGGGCTCCTTGGCATTACGCCACTGTTGAGGGGGTGGTGAGCAGGATTTGATGCCTCCGGCTTGCACGGCTCTGGTGGCTTGGCCGGATTTGGCCGGTGCCATCTTGACCGGCAGTTTTGCAGTCACTCGAGCTGTGGGGCTGGCAGCTTGCTAGCTGGTGCGCTGGCTGGTGTGGCTTTCTCTGCTGTGGGCACTGCCACTATTAACTACATTCATCAGGCTTGCTCTTAGTTTTTAGTTGCAATAGTAATGGCTCGTAGTGCAGACGAGCAGCTCGACGTTGAAGCATTCAAAGCCCGCCCAAGAAGAATATAGTCAGGGACCTGCTTACGCCGTGTGGGCTGCCATGTGACACTTCAAGCTGAGTCCGAGGGAGATCAGAAGGATAGTCAGGAATGTAGTAAGATGCAGAAACATCACTTCCTCATCATGTCTCCGTCAGGTGAAAGCAGGCGAAGGCTGCAGTGCATGAATGCAGAAAGTGAAGTTGATGCTGTAAACTGTCATCATGTACTTTCCGAAAGTTGGAATGGTTACGACGTGGTGGGATTCAGGCGTTGCAGCCAGCAAGGCTTGCCTTGACAATGGTCCGGACTACATAGTAGTAGAAGCCCGGATGCTAGGAACCATGCATTCATGCAACGTATAATCGCATGTACATATAAGCAGGGGCACACAGAGGCACCCGCACAGGCACACAGAGCAGAGTTTGCCTGTTGCACCCCGAGCAGATGCATCCTGAGTAGAGATGGAGACCCTTTGTCCCACAACCGCTTCCTGGGTCCAGCATCAGATACTCTAGGGGCTTTGACAAGGTCAGGGCAACACTCTATGGAGATAAAGCCTGCAGGCCAAGCGTTTGCAGCGTCTGCACTGTGTGACCGCCAGTTTCTTCCCTCAAACAGCGCCGCAGACATCGCAGCTGAGAGCTTCCTAGGCTCGTGCCGCATGGAGTCCGTTTGGCCAGTGCGGCTGCAGGACAACACGTCATCATAAACTGAAGCTGAATCGGTCAAGTCGATAAGTCTTCAGGCTGTACTCCAAATATGATGACATACACATCTGAGTTCGCAGTGTTGGGTGGTTTCTCCCTCCCAGCCTGAAGCAGCCAACCCCTGCACCCCCCTCGTCGAATCAAGCCATGTCCTGGTGACGTCTTATCCGCTGTCGCCATGGCGTTCATGTTCCCCATCCTGCTCGCCTCCCTGCGTGCCATCGGCGTGGCTGTGACAGTCATTGTCGCCGGGATCCTGGCGACCCGTTTCAAGGTCTTGACGCCGCCGGAGCACAGCTGCATGTCGAAACTCTCCATGAAAGTGGCCATGCCTGCTCTGGTGTTTTCACGCATTCTCTACTGCAACCAGTGTGCGGACCGGGCCGACTGTCCTCGTTGTGCTCCGTTCTCCGAGATCATAAGATCAAGCTGGATTCTGTTTCTGCTGCCTTTGGTGGTAGTTGGGCTTGGAACATCTCTCGGCAGAGCAGTGGCGGCTGAGTGGCAAGCAGGAGCAGGGGTGGTAGTGGTAGTCGTAGTGCTAGTGGTCCTGGTGCGAGGTGAAGGACGAGGTGGAGTAGCAGTCGCAGCAACCACTGTCGTCGTCGTCATTGTCCTCATGGTAGTGGTAGTAGCAACATCGAGCATCTACAGCTGCGTGCAGTTACCCGGGCTCGCCTTTCTGCGAGGGCCAGATGAAAATCCTATGTTTTTTCAAGCTGCTGATTGGCCACATGTACAGAATCGGACACTGTAAAGTCCAGATCGTGATCGTGTTGGGACCTGTTAGCGTTGGGATGCTGTTGAAGGGATCTGTGGTTGCGCTGGCAGAATTGCCACCCGGCATGAGTCTGCGTTACTAGCAAGTCAGAAGTCAGTGGGGTTCGTGTTTTCGTTCCTGCCCCCCCATGCGTTGCTGTGTTTGTATCGGTATCTACAACGACATATGTGTACTGATGTATGTACGTGGGTATGTATGTATGTATGTATGTATAAATGAACAAATCAATAATCGAGGCCGCAGTTGCCGAAGTGCCCTCGGACTTTCGACGGGGGACGATCTGCGCAGTCGCCTTTGGAAACTCTACCGGCATGCCAGTGGTGTTACTGACAGTGGTGAGTCAATCCATGACGGCTTTTGGGAATGGCCCCATTGGACATACCGATCCTCTGCTTCATCTTCCTGCCTATCTTATGCTGTACCCTGTCCTTCAGTGGGGCATTGGTACATGGCTGCTGGCCCCTACAGCAGACGAAGAGATCACACTGACCATCCCACCCCCTTGCAAGGGGACCTTGCCTAGACTCTGTGGAGCGGAAGAAGGCTTCTACTACATGGGCCCCGCAAGGCAAGCGCTGGAACATGCCTTGGTGCCACCAGTGCTTGCTGCCCTTGCCGGGCTGTTGGTCGCCCTATCACCCTGTCGAGGAATTCTGGTGGACCTCGCTGGCCAAGCCAACGACGCGCCTTTGGAGTGGCTCTATGACGGGATCTACAAGCTGGGGGACGCCGCGGTGCCGCTGAACTTGCTGATTTTGGGGAGCTCCCTGTCGCAAGGCGCCGACTTCGAGGCCCTACCTCTCAGGGTTGGCATGGCAATCACAGTCTGCAAGATGGTCGTCATGCCCCTCTTGATGAGCTTGATTGTGTATGGCTTGATACGGCTCGTCGATGGCAAGGATCCAGCCATGTGGCTCGTCGCCCTGATTGTGACCTGCACACCAACTGCAAACAATGTGGGGATCATGGCACACCTGGGGGGCCAAAAGGTCGAATCCATGGCTACTGCCATTTTCATCCAGTATGTGTTTGCTCCGGTGCTGATAGCTATGTCACTGACCTACTTCATGTGGCTATTATCTTCCGAGTGGTACCTGCCGGCGTCGTCGGTTTAGGCGAGTTTGATTGAGGCTTCTGCACCAAAGGTGCTGGCCTTTAACCTCCTGCCGATTTCAAGCCCGCCCTCCTGTGGCATCCGGTTGTTCGTCGGCATCCACAATGCGTAGCAGCCCTGGTCCGTAATGCCCAAAGCCCAATACATGACGGAGATTGCTGTCCCTCAAATTGAGCGGCTGGGGAGAGAGAATCGCAGAAGCGAAACATCTGATCACTGCTCGTGACTCTAAATTCTGGGTCGCCTTCTCCGTTCTTCCTCGTATGTGCATGGGTTTAGGGAGTCTGGGAGCGACACTCGTGCTTGGAGCTTCTCGTTCGGCTTGAAACTCTAAACCCCAAGCAAGTAGTTCTTGGCTTAAACATGTTGATCCGCTGCTAGAATTCTAGGTTGTGCCGAAGCAAGTATTGCAAATTCTGTCACACTTATGCTTCCTTCTTGCGGACCAAAACCGATTCCTGGAGTCGGAGTCCCAACTAAAATCCAAAGCCGATTCCCCATAGGGTGCCGGGATGTATAGGACTAGGAAGTCTGAAACGCCACTTTTGCTTGGAGCTTCTGGCCCACGAGCCGTTCGGCTTGAAACCCTGGCCCCGAAAGTAACCTTAGCTTGAACATGTTTCTCAGCTGTTTGAAGCATCGGTTGTGCCGAGACAAGTGCGATATTATACTTATACTCTTACTGCTACACATGCAAGAAAGACCTCTGACAGTCATTGGGAAACCCTGCGCGTTACATAACAAGATGCTCATACATTTGTGGCTCAAGACTCGCGTGTACCGAAACCATTGCCCAGATGGAGTACATGCAATCTTCGTCGAAGATAAGCTGAGTGATTAGAGGTGCTTGGAAGAAGAGGCGACTGCTACGACATGAGATCCCCTGAGCAATATAAGCCTGAACCCCGCAATTTAGAAAACTGGCGGTTCAACGTGCGTAGCACTTGCAGCTTTTGGCATGCTGCGCATTGCAGCTGCCTCTGAGCCTGCGCCCGCGCCCGTGGCCCAAGCTCGGATATTCTGTTGCATTCATAAATGCGAACGGTGGCGGATATTCATGTTCGTGTTGCGGATCATTATGCATGATGATGGTGATGACGGTCATGCAACTACTGATGCTCTTCTTGGCGATTGGTCCTCTGATTATGACCTTCGTTGTGACTTTGGTCGCTGCCACGACCCTGGGCATTTGCGAGCAACCTTCATTGTCGTCGCCGCGGTCGTCGTCCTCGTCGTCGTTGTGGTCGCTGCCGCTGTTGTAGTCGTGGTACTATAGTAGTCGTAAGCAGCAGCAGCAGCAACAGCAGCAGCAGCAGCAGCTGCTGCTGCTGCTGCTCTAGCTGCTGCTGCTAGCGGTACCAGCAGCAGCAGTCGCACTAGCATAGCTGTAGCGGTACCAGTGGCAGCTAGCAGCACTGGCTGCAGCACTTGTGTTGAGCTTTGAGCGTGGCGGATCCATCCACTAGGCGACGGAAACGTCTAGAGCAGGCATTGCCCGGCGAATAACGCACCACCTTTTGGTGGCCTCATGTCTTTCACAAAAACCACCGTCACAGTTCCTTGGGGGATCTACAGCATGACGGGCTGCGGAAATCAAACAGTCTGTACGGTCATGGCATCGCTTTCTGGTAGACTAGCACATAACAGCACTGATCCTGCCAGTCACGCGATCTTGGAACGAACTGTGCGGATCGTCGGGCGTCACATAGCCAGCGGCGCGAGTGATCAAAGAGCATCGACTGGTAGTGACCTGATCGCGGATGCTCGCCGTGGCGACAAATCACGACAAGTCTGCAACACTGGACTGGGCGTACCGCGAAATCGGCGTCAACAGACTCAGGTACATGTAGCACCTGATTCACTTCCACAGGCGAGTGGAGCTTGATGACTTTGCTGTTCACCGCTGGCCGCAGCAGTAGCACCAGCGGTAGCACCAGCAGTAGCACTAGCAGTGGCACTGGCAGTACGCTAGCAGTAGAAGTAGCAGCAGCGGTAG